GTGATCCACCCGCCTCGGCCTCCCAAAGTGCTGGGATTACAGGCTTGAGCCACCGCGCCCGGCCTTGATTATAATTTGAATGTTTAAAATAATAGTTTTATTTTTCTGTTATGATATTTATTAGTATTATTGGGCTATCGTTTATAATTAATTTGGAACCAGTTTTACTCGTGTCACAGCTAGTCTAAAGACATTTCATTAGCTATAAACGTGATGGCCTGGTCGCCCAGGCTGGAGTGCAGTGGCGGGATCATAGCTCACTGCAGCCTCCCCCTCTTGGGCTCAAGTGATCCTTCTGCTTTGGCCTCCCAAGTAGCTGGGACCACAGGCATGTGCCAACACACCTGGCTAATTGTATTTTTTGTAAAGACAGGGTCTTACTATATTGCTCAGACCGATTTCGAACTTCTGGGCTCGAGTGATCCCCCGACTTGGGCCTCCCTAAGTGCTAGGATTACAGGTGTGAGCTGTTACGCCCGGTGTAATAACTCTGTTAGTTTTTTGTTTGTTTGTTTTGTGAGATAGAGTCTTGCTCTGTTGCCCAGCCTGGACTGCAGTGATGTAATCTTGGCTCACTGCAAACTCCACCTCCTAGATTCAAGCAATTTTCCTGTCTCAGCTTCCTGAGTAGATAAGATTACAATTTTTGTATTTTTAATAGAGACAGGGTTTCACCATGTTGGCCAGGCTGGTCTTGAACTTCTGACCTCAGGTGATCCAACCACCTCAGTCTCCCAAAGTGCTGGCATTATAGGCGTGAGCCCGGCCAAGAATTTTTAAATAAGTGCTTTTTGAGAGAGGATTTCATTAAGACTTTTTCTTCCATATTCTAGTGGAATCCTTTATAACTCACAGGAATCACATTTTCAGATGTCTTATTTTAATTATTGGCTTATTTTAAATACGTATCTGTGAAGATGTTTTGGTCTATTGTTGGCTTATTACTTAAATCTCTCAACTAATTTTGAGATTAAATTTTGTCTCTCACAAAATAATTTTCTGTAAGGATTGTGGTTGTCTAAAACCAAATTAAAAAGCTACAACTTAAAGTGTTTGATAGTTAAAACTACTTGGCAATGGTAGGGTTTGTCCTTTTTGGTAGAAATGGTTTTTGATATCGTCTTGTTTAAAATAAGAGGAGGTGCTAAGTTTTCTGCTTCAGAAGTCAGCAAGGAAGTTGGCTTCCTTGGCCAGGCTCTTGAACCCTTTGACTCTAGTCTGTGATCCATTTGTATTCACAAGTTGAGCTTTACCCTTTCACGACTTGGAGCCAGTATAAGAGGTAGAAATGCCTCTAGGGGTCACAGTAAAGTAGTGTTTCAGATTTTTCTTTTTTTTTTTTTTTTTT